TGCTGAACTGGGGCAGCAGGAAGATGGGTAAGTGTCTCCCTAGATGTTTGCTGGGTAGACAGAGGGGCATCTTGCTTTTTGTCCCAGCTACTTCCTTGCTAGCCCCATGCCCCACTTGCCCTGCAGCTGCGTTCTGGGCAAGGCAGGGGAGGATGTCTCACCTGGAGACCACCACCACGTTGCTGAGCAGGAGCCTGCTCCCATCCTGCCTGTGCAGTGCTCTGCAAACACCCCAGGGACGATCTGCCCCTCTTCCCTCCCTTCCTGCCTCTGCAGAGGGGCAAGGAGAGGGCCACGGGAGCCGAGTGCTTACCCTCGTTCATCCCACGCATGAGGTTCTCGCATGTCTGGAGCAGATCCCTGCCCCAGGAGGTTCATGCTGGAGGGGGGCAGCAAGCAGAGCACCAGCAGGACCTGGGTCCCGTGGCTGCCTGTCTGCTGTGGGGTGTTTTTCTAGCTCAGGGAGCAGGAGCCCTGCTCACCCTGTTGTTGCCCTCTCCTTCCCCGTGGACCGGGGGATACTGCCAGCTCCCCAGGCTTGCTTGCTCTTTCTGGAGCTGTGCTGAGGCTTCTCCCCCTGCGTGGGGGCTACCTGTCCCGGTTTGGCCCGCCCACAGGAGATGGGCACTGGCAAAGCTGCCCTTGCCGAAAGGGCTGAGGCTGCTGTTTAGCTTGGCGCTGGGGAGGGAGGAGGAAGCAGAAGGTCTGCGGAGATAGAAGCCCATCAGCCGGGGCGGCAGGAAGAGATTTGTGAGCCGCATCCTGCCTTGTGTCCTGGGGAGGCGGCAATTTGGGGCTGGGCACGCTGTCTCCTTGCCCGAGGGCTCGTCTTGGCTGGGCGCTGATCCGCGTCAACCTGCTTGTGTTGGGTTCCCCTTCAGCAAAAAAGCTGTGAAATAGCAGTTGGTGTTACTGTCTGTCCCTGCTTTGGGCAGCAGTGCCAGCCTGGTCCTGGGGGACTCACTCCGTGCTCCGGGCTGCAGCTCATGGGGGTGGAAGGTGGGCACCCAAAATCCTGGGTCAAACCTGTAGCAGCCCAGTTTTTGATGGGTGTTGGGCAGAGTGGATGAGGTGTTTGGATAGGGCCCAGCAGAAGCTCGTTAAAGAATATGAGTAATGAGGATCCCAGCAGCAGCACAGCATCCTGCCCTTCCCCTGGGAAATACACCCCATGCCAGCCCTCGCTGCCGCCCAGCTCTGCTCTGCTGGGGCCCTTCCCCGGCAGAGCCTGGAGGGGCAGCGGTGGGGATGGGTACAGCTCGGGCACATGTTCTCCCCTCCTTGCAAACCATCCCCGTCACTCAGCACGTCCGAGCTGCCTCTGCGGTCACCTCTGGCCTCTCCTCCTGTCCCTGGAGACCCAAAGCCAGCTGCACGCTGCCTCAGCTGTGCCGCGATGACTTTCGGTTGCTGCCAAGAGAAGGGATCCTGCTCACGCTTGCGCTGGAGGAAACAGGAGCTTTTTTCTCCCACCCTCTGTAGCCTCCATAGCTGCAGGTTTGCTGCTGTCCCTGAGCTTGGCCTCTCCAACGCAGGCCGTCTCCCCCAGGCGCCGGACCCTGCAGGAGCTACCCTAGATGCCAGTGGAGCTGGGCGGGTGCGTGGTCCTGGGTAAAACGGGAGCTTGGCTTTAGATCCAGCTCAGTTTTGTCTTTTTCTGCTCAGAGGAGATAAGGGACAGGAAGAGACCTGGGATGAGGATGTCGGTGAACGTGCAGAATTGGGGGTGTGGGAGCTCATGAGAGATTTGGAGTCCAGAGCTTGCCTTGTTCAAGTCCTCCCCATCCTTCCCATCCCTGGCCAACAAGTTTTCCCAAAGCTGTCGGTCGGCTGCTGCCAGCACTGTAAATGCTGCTTTCAGTGACAAATTTTTTTTGTAGCCCTGCTCTGATATGCAAACACCCAAGTGTTTTCTGGAGCCTTGCTGCATGGGTAACCCCACAACTGCAGTGTGCTTTTGCTTTGTAAAAACTAGCCCATGAATCACCGCATCAAAGAGAAGACCCACACTTTTATGTGTTGTGCCTGTAATGGTGATTTGCAGTGAATTCTCTTTTCCTGCTTTTTGCTGGGCTCTCCCCATCCCTCCTGCCTGGTTCTGTTTGCCGGGCTGATGCTGTGTTCAGGTGCAGTGGCAGCCCAGGAGCTGGCGGGTGCTGGGATCTCGCAGAGCGACGGGAAAGCAGATGAGCAGTGGCTTCTGGTGCGGTTCCTCTTTGCCAGGACTTCAGCTGCTCTGATCCTCTTGGCTGCCTCTGGGGCCATGTGTGTTGGACGGAGGCTCAGCTAACACAGAGCTGGGTGGGGAAAGCCCCTCCTGTGCTGCAGTCCCCGTCCCCTCCCTGGGCACCTTTCAGGCCGCCTGTGTGGGGCAGGTATTGTCCCTCAGGGCAGTGACTCCATGCCTGGAGGGAAGATTAGGGTGGCCTTGGAGCAGTGTGGATGAGCTAGGATGATACAGGGGAGGAGTGACAGCAGGGCAGAGGAGCTGCTGTTGGTGAGTGTGGGGAGGAAGGCTCCAGCCTGTATATGGGGACACCGTGGAGGTAGCACTGGGCTGGGAGGTCACGGGTGGTCTGAACACAGCAGGGGAACATGAATGTCCCCCAGCAGGCGAGGGGTGGGAGGACGTCTCCCTGGTCAGCATTGCCAGGTGGCTCTGGAGATGGCATCTGGGTTTCCTTTCCTTCCTTCCTTCCCTCCATCACAGCGAGGGGGCACCAGCAGCAATGATACGCTGTCAGGCGGACAGAGGTGTAGTTTTATCTGCATGGAAAAATATGTGTGCTGAGCCCTTTGATAGCAGTCCAGTAGCCCTGCAGAGCTGGTGTTTCCATTCACGGGCTCAGCAGGCTGCATCCCGGCGTCTGTGTGCAGGTCAAAGAGCTTGTGCATGGAAGGAGCACGTGTGCATTTAGGAAACACCGCCTGAGCCACGCTGGGCCAGCTGGGAAAGACCCCCATCCTGCGGTCTTCCGTACATTCCAGCCCCTTCTGCCTTGTCTCAACCCCAGCACCCCAACACCACCCTGGCTAATGGGCTTTTTCCTGCTCCCCCCAGTGCTGGACCAGCTCCTGCCAGAGCTCAGCATCTTGCTCAAGCTGCTGGACCACGAGTACCTGAGTGCCACCACGCAGGAGAAGAAGCTGGCCGTCTCCACCATCCTGCAGAAGCTGCAGCCGC